ATTTTCAATAACCTCATATGCATATGAAAGCTGGACAGTGAATAAGGAAGACCGTAGAAGAATTGATGCCTTTGAGTTATAGTGTTGGAAGAGAATATTGAAAGTGCCATGGGCTGCCAAAAGAACCAATAGAGCTGTTATGCCCAGAATTCGGGGTCCCCAAAGACCACCAAGGAGCCGTCGCCTATGCAAATACATAAGGGTTGTCTATTCAAGCTCCAGCTCAGACCCCGCCTGCATCCAATGCAGCGGATGAGGGATGGAGCCTCAAACTCCCAGTTATTCAAGCCCGAGCTCTGACTCCACCTGCATGCTCTGACTCCACCTACATCCCACGCAGCGGATGAGGGATGGAGCCTTGAACTCTCAGTTACTCAAGCCCAAGCTCGGACTCCACCTGCATCCAACACAGCGGATGAGGGATGGAGCCCCCCGTGAACCCTTTGTCTGTGGGGTTTTTATAGAGTTTTCAAACAAGCTTAGAGTTTTTCAGCTTTACAATATTTGGATTGGTTAACATTTGGCAAAGTATGAGATGTTACAATTTAATTGGTCAGTACTGGTGGTCTTTTGTTCTTAGGCTAGGATAAGGAAAACATCTGGCATCTGGCCTTGGGTTGTCCTGTCTACTGCTTACCTAGTTCTTGCTGTTGCTAGGGGTGAAAGGATATTCTAAGGCAGCATTAACTGATTTAGCACGTTCCTGGAACAGGAGGGACGTGTTCAGGCTAATGTACAGAATGGAGTCTTTTTCTTGGTCCTACAGAGCCATTTTGGAAGAAGTACAGCCAGAGTGCTCCTTAGAGGCCAAGATGGCTAAACTTCATCTCTCATACTTTGGACATATTGTCAGGAGGGACCAATCGCTGGAGAAGGATATCATGTTTGGTAAGGTGGAGTGTCAGAGAAAAAGAGGAAGATCCCCAGCAAGATAGATTGCCCAAGTGGCAACATCGATGGGGCAACAGTAGTGAGGTTGGCCCAGGATCAGGCAGTGTTTCATTCTGCTGTGCATAAGGTCGCCATGAGTGGATACCGACTTGATGACACCTAACAACAACAACAGTATATGACTATTTTACTCTGTAAGAAAAAAATACATAAAAGAAACATTTTCTTTGTTTGCAACTTGCAAAATTGAGTTCTTCTGCCAATGTGAAATATCAACAACTCACTTTAAGACCAGGCCATCTGCTATGCTGTGAATCTACTACAAAAATGTGTCAAAATGACAGTCTATCTCAATCTTGTCCAGAGTGACAGAATGCAAGTAACAGGACTGTGCTTGGACAACAAAAGGTTCTCATCGCAAACAACAGTAGTTAAAAATTTGGGATGCAGCTACAGAGCAAGGAATCAAAGCCAGATGGAAGAGACTTTTTATTTAAAGACACAGTATCACAAATGGCCCTATGGCATGGGTGAGGTCTACTTTCACACTCATCCGTTGGTATATAATCACTTAACATTCATTTCTTTTTATGGGACTGATTTGGGTCAGTTTGTTGAGAATGGTGTTCAGTATCTGATTAGTCATGAGAGAGAGATTTCTGTGGTTACATGTAAACTTGTGATAGGTTTGCAGAAGTTACAGATGGAGAGGGTAGTGGAGAAGCCAGCTGTGGTGCATCTATG